TAATAATAAATTTTATAAATAAATAAATGAATGTCACATGAGACCCAGACTGGGCCCCAGGACAGAAAAGAAGACGTTAGGGAAAAACTCAGGGAAGCTGAATAACATGCAGAGTGTGCTTAGTGACTGTGTGTCATTACAGTTCATTCACTGTGACAGGCGTACCACGGTAAGATCCAATGTTAATTACGGAGGAAAGCGTGTGTAAGGCGTATGGACACTTCAGCTACCATGGAAACAATAGGGCAATTCCTCAGAAATTGAAAACAGAACTGCTACAGGACCCAGCAGTCCCTCCCCTGGGCCTGGACCCAAAGGAATCGAGCTCACCTCCCATCCAGGCATCCACGCTCACCTGTCCACCGAAGCACTACCCACAGTGGCCAAAGTGCAGGACCACCTGCATGTCCATCAGCGGCCAGACGGGTAAGGAGACTGTGGAGTGTACGATCACATGGAGAGAGACGATTGTTCAGCCTTAAAAACAGAGGGAAGCCTGATTTGCCGCATGGGTGGACTGGGGGTCATGATACCAGTGCACCCCCACGCCGCAGTGGGCACCAATTTACAGCAGATACACAGCGGCACGGCACAACACACATCTTACATGCATGCAGTAACATTGATTTTTTTAAACATATATGTAGGAACTTTCCTATCTTTATAGTTTTTCTGTAAATTTAACTTCTAAAATTTAAGGACTTTGTTTTTAAAAACAGCAGTGTGCTCACTTCAGCAGCCCATGTAGTAAAATCAGAATGACACAGAGATTAGCATGGCCTCTGCACAAGGATGCCACAGAAATTCGTGACGCGTTCTGCATTTTCATATTGTAAATAAAAAATAAAACAACACACAAACTGTGCCTCAAAAGATGTCAACTATCCACCAGGCACGGTGGCTCACGCCTGTAATCCCAGCACTTTAGGGGGCTGAGGTGGGCAGATCACCTGAGGTCAGGAGTTCAGGACCAGCCTGGACAACATGGCAAAACCCCATCTCTACTAAAAAATACAAAAATGAACTGGGCGTGGTGGTGAGTGCCTGCAGTCTCAGCTACTCAGGAGGCTGAGGCAGGAGAATCGCTTGAACTTGGGAGGCCGAGGTTGCAGTGAGCCGAGATCGCGCCACTGCACTCCAGCCTGGGCGATGGCAAGGCTGTCTCGAAGAAAAAGAAAAAAGAAGCAAGCTGTCAGTGAGGAACACCCGTGCTCTGCCTGCGTCTGCTGCAGGGACGCCTGCCCCCAGCCTGCCCGCATGCCACAGCCCACGGGTCCAGTGGGAAGGCTCACCGGGTGCAGGGCGGCCTCAGGACCCAACCTCAGGTGCACACAGGTGGGTGACAGGGCAGGCAGTGCCACCTGCAGAGACCCGTGGGCACCACCTCCCATGGTCCCTCTGCCACAGGGTTTCCCAGGATGGGGCTTCAAAGCTAATTTCCCCAAATGCCATAGGAAGTGGCAGTAGGTTTTTTCCTCTGCAACAAATAGCTGAAACTAGGGAATCTGAAAATTGACAAAGGCAATATTTGTTAACTTTAATAAAGTCAAGATGAAGAGATTAATTTTGTTTTCTCAGTATTGTTCAGAATGAGCGCTTCTGGGATAAAGCCATACTCAGCTGTCCTGAAATAAGTAAATAAAGAAGTAATGACACCCAGGCTTCTGGGTGGACAGCGTGCAGAGGGGTGGCCCAGGGTGGACTCCGGTGTGTGGCCTGCGGCTCACCCCAGAAGGTACGTCCAGGGCGCCTGGGCTGCCTGGGCACCTGCGCTGGGCTGGAGGGGACAAACTCAGGCCACTCTCGGCCGGCAAGGAGAAGCTGGTGACCACAGCCCTCGTGATGGAGACCAGCTGGGAGCACGCGGAGCGCAGGGGGCCAGAACCCACCCAGGCGAGGCCGTAGGGCACAGGTTTGATGTGGTTGGGATCTGCGTCCCCGCCCAAATCTCAGGAGGCTGAGGCAGGAGAACTGTAAGCGCCATGTGTTGGAGGAGGGGCCTGGTGGGAGGCGACTGCTGGCCTCGTGATGGTGGGTTCTCGCGAGCTCTGGTTGTGTAAAAGTGTCGCCCTTCCCTCTTCGCTCTCGCACCTGCTCTGGCCACGTGAGCGATTCCTGCGCCACCCTCGCCTTCCGCCTTGAGACTTTCCCGAGGTCTCCCAGCCATGCTTCCTGCACAGCCCGTGGAACTGTGAGTGTTTTCATTATAAATTACCTGGTCTCAGGTAGTTCTTTGCAGCAGTGGGAGTACAGACTCATAAAGGCAGAAATGCTGCAAAGAGGGACTGGGAAAGGGAAGAGGTGCAGCCAGGAAGGAGGGGGCACAGCCAGCACCGGGCCACAGCCCCTCACCAGCAGCCTGCTGCAAGTCAAGACACAGTATGAGCCCTGTGGTGCGGTGGGCACATGGCTGCATCGCCTCTTTGAGCCCTTGACCCAGCTCTGCCTGCCATCCACCCTCCCCTCTGACTTCAGCACCTCCAGTTTCTTGTAGACAATCTCTTCCAGCCCAGGCCTGCAGCTCACTTCCCTGCCCCTCGCCCCATGATCAGTTCCTGACCCCCGAATCCAGAAAGAGGTGGCTTTGGGACCGTGGCTTGAGGGTCTGTCTCTGGCTGGGCCTGCTGAGGGGGAAGGATTCCCAGGAGCTGCCCAGGCTGTCTCTGCGCCACACAGATAGAGGGACAGAAATGTGCTCTGATGCTGTTGCTGTGTGACGAAGTCCAGCCCTGCCTGACGTCAGCACACGCTGGGATGCCCCGGTCCTGAGCCCAGACACGTCCTGTCCTGGACAAGAGCTGCTTTGGCTGGGTGTCTGCTCTGGCAACCAGGCTATCCTGATGCGCTTGGTGAAAATCCAGGATGAGGCCGGGCACGGTGGCTCACACCTGTAATCCCAGCACTTTGGGAGGCCGAGGCAAGCAGATCACTTGAGACCAGGAGTTCAAGACCAGCCTGGCCAAGATGGTGAAACCCCATCTCTACCAAAAGGTACACAAATTAGCCAGGCACGGTTGTGCACGCTTGGAATCCCAGCTACTCAGGAGGCTGAGGCAGGGAATCATTTGAACTTAGGAGGCAGAGGTTGCAGTGAGCCAAGATTGTACCACTGCACTCCAGCCTGAGCGACAGAGCAAAAAAAAAAAAAAACGAAACAAACAATCCGGGATGTGCCGTGAGCCTCCCGCGTCCAGGGCTCCTCCTACAGGTGATCTCCATCAGTGGGAACCAAGGTGGGCTGAAGCCGGTGTGGAATCTCCCTGCTCAGGACAGGCCAGGGAGGCTGTGAGGGCAATGGCAGCAGGATGGGCCAGAGCACCTGGGGAAGGTGGGGAAGCACCACTGCCCTGAGACTGGTTCCAGTAAAAAGGGTTGAGCCTCAGTTTCCCTGTCCGTAGAATGAGACCTCAGGCTCCACAGTAGCAGCTGTGATTTGGGGTGGTGGAGCAGGAGGGCCTGGGAAGGAGGGACGCCGGGCAGTCCAGCACGAGGAGAAGCTAAACACAGGCTGGGGTTACCCTTGAACCCCACACCCTGCCTCTCCGAAGATCTCCCACTCAGGGGGCAGCCTGCACATGCTTACACGAGTTGAGTCCGCACCATCGCCGGCTCGGGCTCTGACCCTGCTCTGCCACTTCCGCGCTCCAGGACCTGCCTTAAGTGACTTCATTTCTCTGGGCCTCAGTTTCTTTGTCTGCGAAATGGAAATCGTTTTCATCTCATAACTTTTGTGAGTAAATGAAATTATTCAGGTAACCCCTGGGCATGTGCCAGGCACACGCTGGCTCCAACAAACGTTCAAGTTAACACCCTCCCTCCCAGGCCTGCAGGGACTGCAGAGACTCCGCCTCGGATGCCAGCCCCCCACACCCGCCCTCCCCCTCCAGCCCCCCTCGATGCCTCCCCACACCTTCTCAACCTCCCTGGCCCTCCACCCCTCCCCTCCACACCCGCACACCCGCCCTCCCCCTCCAGCAGCCTGAGCCCCCCAACACCCCCGAACCCCCTCCCTCCCTCTCCCACGGTCCGCGGGCTCCACCAAGCGCCCACCCGCTGCGCTGCGACTGCGGCTCCGGCTCCGGGATCCGAACCCGGGTCCGAAGCCGGCCCTTGGGCGCCGTGGGGAAGGGCCTGGAAGTGCGTCTGGAGAGCGGGGTCAGGGTCCACTCCCCCAGGGCGGCCGGGACCCCCACCCCTGCGCCAGTCCCGCGCATCCCCCGCCGCCCCAGGCCGTCCCAAGACACTCCGGGAAACGCCTTCTCGTGACGCCGCGGACCCCGTCCCCTAGCAGACCCGGCGAGGCGGGCCCTTTAAGGGGCGGGTCTCATTAGCATACATTTGCATGCCCCCGCCCCGCCGCTGGAAGCTGCCGCGCGGCGCTCAGTCCGGCGGGGGCGCCGCGGAGAGCGGAGGGCGCGGACCCTGCTCGCCGCCCGCGGACCCATGTGAGCGCCATGCGGCGCCGCGCCGCCTGGGGACCCGGCCCTTCGCCCCCGCCGCCCCCCGGGCCCGGGCTCCGGCCGCTGCCGCCGCTGCTGCTGCTGCTGCTGGCGCTGGGGACCCGCGGGGGCTGCGCCGCGCCCGCGCCGCGCGCCGAGGACCTCAGCCTGGGAGTGGTGAGCGCGGCCGAGGGCGCGGGGCCGGGGGGTGGGGGGCGCGGAGCTCCGGGGCCGGCGCCAGGGGTCCCCGCGGGCCGGGCGGCGGGGGCCCGGCAGAGCCCCGCGGTGCGCGTCGGCGTCGCCCGGGAGCCCGGGAGCCCTGGACCCATTTCCTGGATGGGGAGACTGAGGCAGGCGCGCGGGTGAGCGGCCGGGCGAGCGCCCGCGGATCTGGCAGGCGCCGGCTCCCGTCCCGGCTCCGTGCGTCCGGAGCGCGCCGCCGCCGCAGGAGCCCGTGGAGTTGCGAGAGGCCGCCCGCCCGGAGCCCGGGTCCCCGGCTTGCAGCGGCTGCAGAGCAGCCGGGGTGGGCGAGAGCAGCCTTCGCGGCCGCCCCGAGCCCTGCGCGCTGCGTGCGTTCCGGGTGGGAGTGGCGGAGCAGGGGCTGCGGAGTGAGGGCACCCCGAAAGTCTTGGGACCCTGAGTTTGCTGGGTTGAGGGTGCTGGGGGCACAGGGAAGCCGGCCCCAGCTCCCCTGAGCATGGCCCTGGCCCCAGCCTCCTTTCCCTCCCCCCGGGTCGGCCAGGCTGGCCCTCTAGCCCGGGTCCCGTGCTCAGCCGGGGACTGGGGAGAGCCTTCCTCACCCCACACGCAGCCTCTGTCCCCAGCTCAGCTTGGGAGCCCTGCCAGGGGGCAGCGCCGTGGTCTCTTCCCACAGCCCCCTCCCCTGTTCCGCAGCCCGGAGCGGCGTCTCCTGTGAACCCGGAAGATTTAGAGCGGACGTCGGGGGGTCAGCGCCCCCCGGCTGGGGCGGTCGGGTGGACTCCGACTGGGTTGGGCGATTCCTTCTGAGGCTCCTGCCCCAGCGCTGCCCTCACTGTACCCTGACCCAGGGACTCTGGGCCGAGGCCTCCCCGCCCGCGCAAGTGCTGGGCCCTGGTCTCCCAGTGGGGTCCTGGCAGCTGGCAGGGCCTCTCACCCAGCGCCTGGGACTTTCAGGTGCTCAGGGTCTGAGCAAGTCAGCGCAGGTGGATTTCAGGCAGTCGAGGCATTTGAAAGGGGCACTTGGGTGGCACCTGCAGCCCATGTGGTTGGCAGGGCTTGGCCAGGGGGTCTGGATGGAAGCCGGCTTGGCCCCAGGCCCCAAAGCCATCTGGGACAGTGCTGGCCACTGCCCCTGCTACCCAGGGGCCAGATGCCTGCAGGCCCCCACAGTGGCTTCCTTCCAGCCAGGCTGCCTGTGAAATTGGGGTGCCCCCACCTCCTCAAGACCCCTTTGTAGCTGGGGGTTTCCGGGATCCCCCACTGAGAAGCACGCCCTGGGGACCTGGTGTCTCCAGCTCTGAAGGGAAGGGAACCCAGGCTCCAGGGTGCTGCAGAAGGTGCCGGGGCAATGCCAGGGGAGGACTCCAGGTGGGGCCCACATGCGCAGGAGGGACCCCTGGCCAAGCCCTGTCGGCTGATCAGACCCAGTGTGGCCCACCTGCCCGCCTGCCCAGAGAGAGTGGGTCGGGCACCCTCCTCCCGGCTGGTACCTGCGCCTTGGTCTCTCCTGGCACCCGGGGATCACCCGCCTTGTGCTCTGTGGCGGGATCGAGCGGAGGTCGTGGCTCCTCAGCCCGGCCGGGGGCAGTGAGTGGGGCCCGGCGTCCAGCCGGAGAGGGAGGACGCTGCGGGCAGCCCCCTGCGTGGTGCCCCCTCGGGTTCCAGCCGGCCTGGTGGCACCTCCGTCCTGTCCGGGCCTGCTGCTCACACTGGCGGTGCGGGGCGGCCTCTGCCGGCCCCTGGGGGAAGCGCGGGCAAGCTCAGGCCCAGGGCAGGCGGCTTCCCGGCCGGGAGGGACAGGGAGGCCGGGATCTGGGCGGAAGCGGGGACTCCCTCACCACCCTCACCGCCCCCTCTCAGGTCTGGGTGCCAGGAAGGAGAAGGGCCCCTTTGTCCGAGAGACCGGCTCCCGCAGGCTGAGCTGCACGCAGGGGAGGCCCGCCCCGGAGTGCCCCCTGTTCGCATGTGAACAAGGCCGGGATTCAGGCTGCTGGGCCGCACGGCGGGGACAAAAGAGCGCCCTGTGCCCCCGTCCTCGGCGGGGCTGCGAGTCCTTGCAGGCCTGAGATTTTTGTCCTCCTGTGTTTTGAGTAGGACGCAGCGCAGCGCGCAGCCCAGGGTCTCCGCAGGCGTCCGCACCCCTCCCGCCCTGGCTCCTTCTCCAGCGGGTCTGGGCGCCGATGGGACGCGGCTCTCGGTGCCTTATTTCTGCACGGTGGCACCGTGCTGCCAGTGGGCTTCGCCGTCTCTGCTCCACAGCTGTCTGGAGTGTCTGAGCCGCCGTCTGTTCCTGGCCTGCAGCCTGGACCTGGCTGGGACTCCCCAGACTCGCCCAGAGCATCTTGCGACCGGGTCCCGGGGGCAGCTGTGTGGTAGCAGGCTTGACAAACTCTTCTAAAGTTTCTGCTTCGTCTCCTCTCCAGCACAGCCTGTGGCCGTCATCACTGCGCCCACGGCAGAGTGGCAGCTCCCTTGATCTTCTGCCTGGGGCGGGGCGGGGAGTGGGGGTGGTGTTGCTGAGGTTGTGGGAGGCTGGGCCAGATGGTGCCTGGTGGCAGCCGCCCTCCACATCCTGGTCTCCGCTGCTGGCCTCTGGGTCCCTGGCCCTCAGGACCTCGTCATCACCCTGGCTGGGGTCAGGGTGTCCCCTGACACCCTGCAGATGGTCCCAGAGCGTCAGCGGAGCACCCCCTGCCAAAACCAAGACAGGCAGGAGTGTGAGACCACGCCTGATTTTGCCGTGAGAGGCGCCTGCGTGTCCGTGCTGCTCAGTCCCCTCCTGACACCCACCTTCATGGCGCAGGAGATGTCGCTTCCCTCGGACGTGGGCTCTGCGACCCACGTACCGGGCCTCAGTCTCCCTGTCTGTACGGTGGGGCCAGGGAGGACAGGCTGCCGTACCATCAGCGGGGGTGCTTCCGTGGTTCAGGGGCGGGAAGGGGGAAGGCTGGAGGGGACCAGGGTGTTCTCTGATGCTGTCCTGGGGCTTCAGGGCGCTTTGCGTATGCGTGCATTTACCTTCTGTTGGCAGCAGCTCCGGAGGGACGCTTGCCCCGGCTCTGGACGCGGGGAAGGTGTCAGGCGCACGCAGCGCGGCACCTCTGTCATATAGGGACTGGGGGCCTCCTGAACACCTGCCTCTGGGGTTCAGGGCCCTGCTGGCACCGTCTGGCTCACGGCAGGGACAGGACAGGGTGGTCCGGGAAGGATGTGGAGCCCAGCTTCCCCCGTGGTGCAGTACTAGGCAAGTCCCCTCCTCATGCTGGCCCAAGGGCCCCACGTGCCCTGGCCCACCTCTTTCTCCTTCCCCCCCGCAACCGACTCTGTCCCACTGGCTCCTCTGTGCTGCGCGTTTCCCTGCAGAAGGGCCTTTGCACTGCTGTCCCCACTGCCGTGGGCACCGCCTCGCATGTTACCTGGACAGCTCCTTCTTGTCTTGCTGGTCACAGCCCATGTCCCCCAGGATGTTCCCTGAGCACCCATTTCATCAGCCCTCCAGCCCGTCTCTCACCCCTGCATAGCACAGTGGTCAGCGGCTCTGTAGCCAAAGATAACTCCCTGTGCCTCAGTGTTCTCATCTGTAAACTGGGAGTAATAAGAGCACCCACTTCGCAAGGTTAACCCAGGTTTTGTGAGCACCTGCTTTGTGCCAGGTACCCCCCAGCAGGGACCGCCCCAGCCTCACCGTGCCTGAGGGAGGTGGCAGGAATGGCAGGCGTGTGAATGAGATGGGTGTGGATGACGTGGGCGTGGACGGCGTGGGCGTGGATGGGTAGTGCTGGATAATTGTTGGCTGTTGGGATGGAGAACAGTTATCAAGTAGTCCTGTTCAGGACGTCATGGCCGCCTGAGACTCATGTCACAAACGTGTTCACGTTTGCTATTTATCCTCCCCACACTCCTGTCCTCCCCTATGGGCAGTGGGATGGGGTCCTCTGGTCTTAGCCTCTCCCGCTTGCTCAGACTGATGGACAGACTTAGAGGGAATCTGGCAGTGCCCCTGGCTGGGGCCAGGGGATCACTCCAACCGAGGGTCAGCAGCCAGAGGCAGCCAGTGCAAGGGGACCCTCGCATGGCCGGTGGGTCAGACACAGTTAGACCATGGATCCATCACTGACTGTGTGCTGTGTGACCACAGGCAGGTTATCCACATGCCCTGAGCCTTAGTTTTCTCATCTGTAAAATGGGGCTGATGACATCTCCTCTCCCCTACCCCTCTCCCACCCCATGCAGATCGGGTCACAGATGAGTGTGGGGGTCGGGCCCTCATTCATCTGCAGAGGCCAGGCCTAGGCGCCACCCCCATGGCACAGCAGGGCCACAGATGCACCGCCAGCCAGGGTGCCCTGGGCGGGAGAGGCCAACACAACCAATCAGTGCAACGCAGAGCCAGGGGGCAGGGGCTGCATGCCGTAAACTCCCTAAAAACTGTCCGAGGGAATTCTGTGCTGTGTGCATTGCACCCCTCAAGGCTGGAAACAGGCACGCACTGTGGCAGACAGGCAGGACTGTGAACCGCGAATCTGGAGTGGGCCGGGCCCGCATCTGCGTCAGAGCCAGGGGCCTGCTTCCTGCCTGTGCTCCCCAACGGGGCAGGGCCCCGCCTCTGGCCTCTGTGTCCCCATCTTTAGTAATAATGGCCCAGCCCATGGGAGGAGCAGGAGAGCGCCGCCTCTCCTAGGCGGCTCCAGAAACTATCATCAGCCAGGGGGCGGCTGCCTTGAGTTGGGGCTCCCTGGAGCTCCCAGCAGCCCCTCTCCCACCTCCTCCCTCCTCCCGGCAATACCTCCCCCTCCCCAGTGGCCTTCTGGAAGGTTCACCCTGCTGCTGCTGCAGCACCCTCCCGATGCAGCCTCCGTTGCCCTGGAGACAGCAGTCTCCGTGGCGACAGCAGTCAGGATCCAGCAGCGGCAGCGGGTGGGTGTAGGTACTCTGGGGGCAGGGGTGGGGAGGGGGAGAGGGTCTGGGCCCCCGCCTTAGGGGCCATCCTATGGCAGGCATCCGCCCACCTGCTGTGGGCAGGAGTACGTCAGAATAGAGGCCTGGGGAGGGGAGCCAGGGCGGGGAGAGGCCACTGCATTTGCCCCAAGGTGCTGGCTGTGGGGGCCTTTTTGCCCCAGGACCATGCTCAGGCTCGGGCCTGTGCCTGGTTAACGCCCCGTTTAGCTAACACGCCCACCTTGCTGCCGCCACCCTTATTTAGCCTGAGTTGACATTTCCAAGCCCTGGCCAAGAATCGGCCGCCCTCCCAGATGGAACTGAGCTGCCTGGGGAGCGGCTTGCTGCCCTCTTCCCCGAAGGCTCGGGCTTCCCCGAACCTGGGAGCACAGGGCGGTGTGGCACTGGGCAAGGGCACCCTGTGGGCTCAGGAGACCCCCCCCCGGAGCAGGCGGCCGCTTCTACCTGTGTCCACCCGAAAGCCAGTGGCCCTCAAACCCACAAGGCTGGTCTGTCAGGGTGCCCCTGCAAACTAGGAAGTGGCTCCCACCCTCCCACTCTACCCCCCAGACAGCCCCTCCCAGAATGCTGAGCCTGAGATGGGGCGCAGCCCCTGAGCACACACGTGTTGGGGGGAGCCCCGACAGCCCTGCCCCACAGACCTGCTGCCCCAAGATGTGACGCCACGGGTGACTGCGTGTTGGCCGTGGGTGGGGCTGCCTGCCCCAGGACGGTGCCGGAACCCTTGTTCTTAGAGCTGCAGCAGGCTGGCCGCTCACACCTGCCGCTAAACCGCTGCTTCCAAAGGTCGGGAACATTCCACAGCCACTGGGAGAGCTGCCCGCCAGGCCCGGTTCCACTTTCCCAAAATGCATGTGGCCCCGTGGCCAGACTGCCTAGCTCCCCAGGGACCAGAGGAAGGGGTACCCCAGCCTGCCGCCAGCCATGACCCCAGCTTACAGATGGGAAGGCTAGGGGTGCGGGGTCCTCCCAAGGGGGTCTCAGTGCCTGCTGGCCCAACCCAGGCAGCAGCTGGCCTGGGTAGGAAAGGCACCTGCCTGTATGGGCCCTTCCCTGGTAAGGGGGCAGGGGGTCATCATCCAGTATCATAGATGGTGTGAGGAAATTCCAGAGGGCTTCCTGGAGGAGGTGACAGGCTTGTAACCACAAGGCATAGTGGCCCTGTGGAGCTGGGATCTTAACAAAGAACTAAAAAGTGCACGTATTTAATGCAGCATGTGCTGATGAGTGTTGCTCCAGCACCTGGAGTGGGGACCGGCCTGGGGACACCCTCCGTAAACGCTTTGGGTACATGGCAGTGTGGGGCTGGACACCCGGAGCCAAGGATCCCCACGGCCTGGAGATCGGGACAAAAGTGGGAGGCCAGTCTGCCGGGGCCAGCACGCAGGCGCACAGCGGCTGTCCCACCCCGTGTGAGTGGAGGCTGCCTCCCCAAGGCCCTGCCGCAGAGCTGCCCACGCCAGTCACGAATGTCCACTTTGATGTCCGTCCTGCCTCTAGCCTTGGAGGGGCCCCCAGACCCGAGGGGTTCTACATGCACACTCTTGGCTTCCCCTCAGGGCTGTGGGGGGGGGGGCTGGGGCTGGGTCAGCAGGGTTTGGGGAGGGGTAAAGGCACAGAGGGAGGGCCCGGGAAGGACTCTGGCTCCTGAACGGGGAATCTTGGGGCTTGCAGATCCCATGCAGTGTCTTGTGCGGCCCCTCCTGGCCAGCACGGGCCTGTGGCCGATGCCCCTGGGACCTCCAGGACGATGGCACCTCATTCCTCTCAGCACTGCCCGCCGATGGGCAGGAGGGTTGGCCAGGACCGCGCCGTCACCAGCTCACAGTGAAGCTCAGGCAGGAGCTGCAGACCAGAACCCGGGGGCCCAGCAGGCGGCATAAATGAGTCGCAGGCATTTT